TCTCCCTCTGAAAAGTGGGCAAACCTCTGATGTTCATCAGCATGACTCCCGCCCACAGATCAGATCAGTCAAGGAGTCAGAAGTAATCAAAGCAGCCTCTTAGCCGTTTGGACGGAGCTGCACTTGTTTGCTCAGTCACTCACCTTTCCAAACTTTGCTTTATTTGTCACATGAATATTTAACAGGTGTCATGAATATTGAAAGATGCTTAAAGGCAAGACACCTGTCCCACATTTTCAGAGTCACTGTGAACCTGAAAATAACTTCATGCATCTTCTCTCTTGTCTGCAGCCCACTGCCTGTTTTCTGTTCTGACGGTTAGGATCTAAAACATATTCACCTGACATTCTCAGTGTATAAATCCAGCCAAAAAATAATCAAATGTGTCAAATACAACAACGATAAAGCACATTTGTATTTGTTTGATCAGCATATTTCAACACATGGGCCTCAGGGTGTTTTAATAACTTAATATTTCAGCAACCTTCAACCATGCAAATCCCTCCATTCAAAAGTTCCTATGAATAGTTAATCACATTATATGCATGCTCATTTCCACTTCATGGACAGAGCTAATGAAACATTAGACCTGAGAGCGGCTGATCTGTGAAACCATGGTGTGTTAGTTAATCTTTTTACGGCACACAGCGTTTTGCCCTGGCTGAATTTGCTCTTCTTCATGGTGCTGAGCACAGCGAGGGGTGCGCCTTGCTCAAAGGAAGTGAGTGAACCAATAAAGCTGAGGGACAACAGATGGATTAACTCAAATAGCTGGAGTTTCATTACACCAAAGCAAACTCAGCGGGTCAGTCGTACCTGTCAAATATTGTAACTGAAGTTTAACTGGCACTGGGAGGAACTGGAGCGAGAGTTGCTTTGATTTTTGACTGGTGGAAGAATTACTCACATCCTTTTACTCAGGGGACGAAGAAGTACTGAGAAAAGTAGAAACATCACAGTATTACAGGTAAAAGACCTGCACTCAAAATTCTATCTGAGTATGAGCAGCAAAGTACCCATTCTGCAAAATGATCCCATATAGTGTAACTTTTAATGTTGTAGCTGTCTGTTTGTGTTCACATAGCTGAATATTGGGCCTGCTGTGTTCACTTACAAAAACAAACCATTGACAACATTAGAAAATTGTAATAACTTAGGGCCAAAACACACCGATGACGAACACTGCATGTCCAAAAAATACGCCCCTATTATTCTCAATGCACAAACCCACACCGGCAGCAGGTAGTCGGCGCTCCTGGATGTGCTGCGCTGCGGCACTTCATGCCACTGTCCTATTTCCAGCCTTGCCGCCCCCAGAGTTAAATGCATTTTCCCCCACTTGCTCTCTGCTTGTACATACCAACTCCCGTAGCAGCTCTTTTTCTCTGCTCCTATGGCTGCTCGACTCCTCTCCTCACCATTGATGTATAAAGAGCACTCATTGAGGTTGGAGAAATATTCAGAGCTAAACGACCCACGATCCTGTCATTAGACAATGGCCAAAAGATATTTCTTGGCGAGTCATAGCTCTGGAGATCGGCTCTTCAGGTGAGAAATCAAGTTTACTTAGGGGTTGTCCACACATGATTTTAAGCTAATGCAGCGGTGAAGGAAGTACAGATGTTTTAGTAACAGTAGTATTAACTTTGCATGGTCATCTTCTGACAAGCTGCAGTGCAACACGTCCAATGTCAATTAATTTGTAAGTCAGTCTCATCCTGTGTTTTGAATTTTAGTGGTAGGCGTGTTTGTTTTACATTTCAGATTGTGCCTTTAAATTATAGTTGAAATTTTGTGTCAGTGGTGCTTAAATACTGTTGCAGCAAATCAAACTGTGTAGTTTTGGTAGTTGTCATTTTTTATGATTTTATTCATGTTTTACATGCAAAATTTAAATCTGTGAAATAAAAAGTACAATATAACCCTCACAGAGGTGTAGCAGTGGAACAATGTAATGTACAATTTATCTCTCTGACATGTATCGAATGTATAGCAAACTTTTTTTGAAGTATCTAAATAAATATAAAAAATTACTGATTTCTGACTAAATTTTTGTATATGATGTTAAATCGGTTGTACCGGCTTGATTGAGTTGAGATCTGAAGCCCCTGAAAAAACTTTATAAGGGCACTGTGACCCTTAGCAGCGCACAATGAAGTGGAAAAAGTCGTTTATTTGGATAACTTCTCTCTGTGAGCTCGCGAAAGTGCTTCGGACCCTTTGAGCTGTCCATTACAAATATATTGTTTCTTGAAGAACGTTGTGTGCTGCTTTCTGATGATATTACACATTCATATCTGCTGGAACATCATGCTGTCTGCTTGCATATCATTTGATCAAGTCATCTCTGGAGTGCAAGTGAAATATGAATATTTTTAATGAAAAAGACCTGAACATTATTTTTCTTCACAAACAACAACTTGAGCCTTCAGTGAGCATCTCTGGGAGTAAAATAATAAATGCGTCATCTTGAGGTCATGCCCTTGTCAAGTAGCAGGGAGCACAACTTCAGTTACACAACACTTTGTGTTAAATGAAGCTGGTTGCAAAAATGCTGGCACGGTGCTGCAGTGGTCAGCATTGTCACCTCACAGCAAGAGGGTTTCCAGTTCGAACCCTGGGTGGGCGTGCTCGTCTGTGCCGTGCTTGCATGTTCTCCCCGTGTCAGCATGGGTTTTACTCCAGCTTCCTCCCACAGTCCAAAGACATGCAGGTTAATTGGTGACTCTAAATTGCCCGTAGGTGTGAATGTGAGTGTGAATGGTTGTCTGTCTCTATGTGTCAGCCCTGTGATAGTCTGGTGACCTGTCCAGGGTGTACCTCGCCTCTCACCCAGTGTCAGCTGGGATAGGCTCCAGCCCCCCCACGACCCCTAACAGGATAAGCAGTTATGGAGAATGAACGCATTAATGAATGGTGACACACAGACAGTACAAAAGGTCTTGACCTACTGATGATGAGATGATTGCATTATTACAAAAGGTATAGACACTTAAAGCTGGAAGTCCTTAAAAGCAAAAAGCTGCATTTTCTAAAATAGAAATATTAATCCATGTACTACCCAGAACTTCAGAGAGCAAATTGTTCAACCTTTTATCCAGTATGGACTAAGGGGATGTAATTCTTGCACTCTCCTATCTCTACTCTTAAACCTCTCTATACAGTCGATCACTCTGCTCTTAGCTTCATAATGACGATGGCTTTAGAATGCACCTTTTCACTGCTATTCTGTTGCTATGGGAACAACTTTGGTCGCTGTTAACTTCCTGTCAGTTACCATGGAAGCTATAATTATTGTAGGTTCCTTGTTAGCTGCTGCATTAACAAACATCTCAACAGGAAATACAAAGGCTCTCATTAAGAATGTTTGTGTTGTCAAGTTAGAAAATGCCTATTATTTGGGAAAGCTGGGTGGCAGTGAGAAGAGAACGGCACTGCAATGTATATATTTACAGAGCACTTCTTGGCAAACTACCTGGGTATCTTATATCTTTTTAATTACAGACCAGTTTTACGCTGCACAAGGTTGCGAGACTATTTGGTCCTTGAAAATCAAAAGAATACTTCAGTTCCCAAATGATCATTTGTATATCAATTACTCACCCTATGTAACACCCAACTTGTGAAGAAAACTTTGGTTTTGTTTGTTTTCACTTCACGTTACTTGCACTAGTTTGAACACTATATTTTGTGTTGATATGCGCCAATAACCTGTTACAATTCAGTCCAGAGAAGGACCCAATATGCAGATCAACAGACAGGTATGCAGGTTTTAACAAAAGGCGAGCTTTAATGAAGGTGGTTGAAAACATCCAGGGCCGAGAGGCAACTCAAAGTCAAAAAAAAAAAAAAAAAAAAAAAGTGAAACCCAACCGAGGAAAAACACAATGATCAGGAATGGATGCGGGACGAACACAAGAGGAACTGAACCCAGGATGAGCACACAGGTATATATCCACAGAAATCTAATCACCAGGACGAGACACAGCTGGAGTAGGAGGACACGGGGAAAAGTAGTGAAACAGGGATTGGCTGACACCATGGGCGGAGCAGACAAGACTAAATACAAAACAGGTGTGAAGGAAGACTCAGGGAACAGGCAAGGTAATTTGTTTAACCCTTTGAAACCTGGAATGACATCACTTTTCTTGTGCTGCTTTCAGGCACCTTTGTGAGTATTTAAACCCTTGAATCCTGAGCAAAACAAAAAAGAAAGAAAGAGATTTAAAACATATTAAATTTTTATATTAAAATAAAATAGGAAAAAAAGAAAAAACTAGAGAAAAGCTATATTTGTAATTATTATGATTACATATTTGAAATTATGGTACAAAATTATTATAATTTGTAAGCACTTTTTCCACGACATTTCCTTGTTTGTTTTTTCAAACTTTCTTTCTTTCTTTTTCTTTTTCTTTTTTTTTTTTTTTTACTAATTTTCTTGTTTTGAATTTTCTCTTTATTGCTGATTTCTTGCAAATGTTTTGGTCATTTCTTCTTTCATTGCTCATTGCCTTCTTCCTGTGTTTTTGAAAACACATTTTTGAAAGAAATCAAGCCAATTTGTTCAGGTTTCAAAGGGTTAATAGTGCTTTTTATATACATTTATTGCTCCATGTGAGTGCAAATGTCTGCAAAAGCTTGTAAAATGAAATAAGCTAATCCTTCTAATTAATTTAAATCCCTTCTGACTGACACAGAGCAGTGTGAATATGTGTGTTTTCTATGAACTGATGTTGTCTCTCATGTTGATGTCCTTGGCCTGTTTGTTGTATAATTTGTTGACTGTACCTTTCGTGTGCTTTGTTGTTTTGTATGTATTGTAAAAAGGGCATAAAAGACAATTCATTTTCAATGGCCTTGAAAGCATCTTTGTAGCAACATATGACGTGGAGTTCTTTTTCATAATCTCCATGAAAAAGTGAACTTCTTTTTTCTGTATTTCTAAATAATTAATGTTACACAGTTTGAGTGGAACAATGTGAAAATTTTATGGTGAGTTAAATTTCCTGCCAACACAAGTCTTTACATGCACTGTATAACAAAATTAACTATGATGATAGTAACAGTAATAATAATATTAATAGACAAAAGAAGTGGTCTTATGTGAGCAGAAATAAAAACTTACTATAATAAATACTGACAGTACATTTGTAGCTCCACAATTTTATGCAACAGTGTTACACACATTATACCAACAAACAAATCTTAAATATACACAACACAATATCCAGTTTGCAAATAAACAAATCTATATTACACATGCTTCTATACTGAATACTTATTGTAAGTGCACAATTGGATGATTCTTGATTCAATATCACTTCTTAATATTGTCTCACTGGTACAAAACACCATGCCAGGTCACCTTAACACGAGAAGATTACTGTATATTCACCTATACCCGTGACTTGAAAACACTGTATATTTAGATTGTTACTTCAATATGTACATATGTATTTACATTCACCATTATGAGAGGTACAAATTCACACAATTACATTGAACTTTACTGACAACAGAAGACAGGCACAAAACAATGTGGGATAATGAGTCTTGAAGGGAATAGCCTGACATTTTGGGAAATACGCCGACTTGCTCTCTTGCCAAGAATCAGATGAAAAGACTGATACCACTGAGAGTGGTATCAGTCTTTTCATCTGTTTACTAGAAAGTGAATATTTCCAAAAACATTGTACTGCTCCCTTAAGCCTTTATCACAAGCAAAACCTCCCATACACTATGAAGGCCTTTGATGTTCATCAACATTAACGTGTGTTATTTAAAGGGAAAGTTCACCACCTTTTATGTAGATGTCCAGTCAGTGTTGATGGTAATGAAGTCCACTGGAGCAATAAATTCTTCGATGCTTGCTATATTGACCAAGAAAGACGAGTTCTCAGCAGCAAAATCTGTTGTTCTTCCTGCATCTAGCGCCATCATTAGATGTGACAGGGGTATAGTTCAATCAGGAGACAGAAGAATGAAGTATAGATAATATTTAATACAGAATATGAGCTTAAGATTTAACAGAAGTCTTTTATTTGGCACTTGGACCCCAGAGGGAGATATTTTGGGATCAAGGGACATCTGAGCGACAGCAGGATAAATCTCCCCATGGACTCCAGACACTGGTGGAGGTGCTGGCCGATGACTCTGAGGCTGATGACTGCTGAGGCATTTGAGGCTGATGAATCTGTAAAAACTAGGTGGTGATGACTACTACAGCGAGAAAGAATTACAGCAGAGGAAGAACCATATTTAAAATGAGGAGCAGTGAGATGATAGGCTGACAGAGAAGGTGTGAACTGGTTGATTGTGAATCAGCTGATGAGTCAATTGACCTACTCAGACAATGATACGTAGAGATAGTGAGTGAGCATGCGTGCAAGGAGTGGAGGAAACTTAGAGCCTGAGCATGAAGAGTATTGTCTTCCTGACTAACTTTCACTAGAGCTTCATTTGGAAGCAGGGAAGAACTACAGGTTATTCTAGCTTTGATTTCTCCTCTGACTAGCTGGGAACCGTGCTCTTGACGCCACTCAAATAAAGAACTTCCTTGTTCTCTGTGCTTGTATTGCAAACTAAGTATGTTTCCAACAGCAAAATTGGCTTTGGATGAGAATATATTTTAAAGTGTTTTGGCTGACTGATATTCAGCTGTATTTATTTGAACCAGAGAATCTAGTTGAAAAAATGAGGCTGTGGCTGCAGGAGGATCTGGCTGCTGGAGCCCCATCTAGAACCTGAGCTGCAGAGAGCAAACACCGACTGGCGGTGCCTTTGCTCAAATTGCCCTCTGATGCCAACAGAAACTGAATCACTCCGCTACAATGAATTAAAGCGTGAATAGTTTTTGTTGGATGTTGTCGCCAACACAGACCCTGAGATAGTCCATGGGTGATTTGACAATGATGCGATCTGACCAGCTGAGTTGCAGGTGATACCATCAGCCGGCCAGTTCACACCACTGCAACCTTTCTCTGCAACGTTCTAAAGCGGTTTTGTCTCCGCACGAATCACTGGTCTGGACTGGGCTTAAGACAGTCTTCAGGATCCTGAAGATAAGCTGGAAAACATAATTAAGCCTAGCAGGGCCGAGATGGCATCCAACCATTGACTATTGTTTCATTTTACGCTGTTTTGGCTAACAAAGTAATGGCAATGGGCATCAGAAGCTTGTTTGCAGTGGATCCTGGTACTGGGACTGTCTCCATGGCTCTGCAAACAGCAGAACTCAGCATTCTTGGTCAGTATAACACACACACTGAGGAATTCATTGCTTCAGTTGACAACATTTACCATCAACACTAACTGGACATCCACATAAAATGCAAAATTTCCCTTTAATTTCACATGGTAGTGGTAGTGGTGTGGTAGTCTGACCCTTTATATCAGATGCAGGTTGGGATTATGTTTTTTTTCCTCCAGGCAAAGCCGGACCTTCCTCTGTTCCCTCTTGCATGAACATGCAAGTGACTTTCAAGTCCAACCTCATAAGCTGAAAAGCTTAACTATAGCATCGCTGTGACAGGACCAGTCATCCTTGTCACCTTGCTTTGCTTTACATAGCGGCTCTACTGACATGTCAGCTTAAACCTGACAAACCAACGGAGGATTCTGAAAGAGATTCTGACAATTTAGGATCTACTGAAGCAGCACCAAGTCAGCTTCTCTGTACAGGTCTGAGGAGTGTTTTAAGTGTAATGCAGTGCCTTTTATTTAGCTGTTAGCATTTAGCCACAGACTGCTACATAAACAAGCTTGTTTAAATATTCCTTTAAATCCTACATGTTGCAATAAACAGCAATAACATTACTGATATCGGAGCCACAATACGATCGGTATGGCACAACAACATGTTTTTCTGTGTGATGTTTAATGACACCTCCCACATGAATGTAAACATTCAAGGACTGAATTGCTTTAAGGCATTTCCTCTCCAGAGCAGCCGGTGAAGATTCGACTGAAAGTGTCACTTCAAAACACTGAAACCAGCCACTCGTCAGTGATTGGCACAAAACTGCCACAGTGCCTCAAATAACAGAAAACAAACCTACGACAGACTCAGAATCACACAAGAGGAGGGGCTGTGCTGATAGAAGGGAAGGCAAAGGGCAATCAGTCTCTGGTGAGAGTGATAGTGCAGAGAAGGGCATTTATACTCCAAACCCATCATTGTGAATCAGCATCACACTGGTCACCCGGTCTGAAGCTGCATTCGTTTGGCATTTGTGGAAAAAACTTTTTTCTGTGTTCCTACACACAGTTTGGTTCTTTTTAGTCGCATAAAAATGCATTAAAATGTGTTTTTTTTTCTCTCACCACTCACATTCAAACACTCCCCCCATAATGCATTTCTGGTAGTTTTCTTTGCCCGTGGTGTCGCTGCACACTGTAACAATGTAAATAATGTGATTCCCTGTTGGAAAGCGTCAGCTCCTTTTCTTCAAACGGCTGTGTCTTCGCACCAGCCTTGTTCATTTAGCACTGCAGGAATCCACTAAGTGATTTTTAATCAGCGCGTAATTACATCTAGTGCGAGGCTGCTGGTGCCATTCACATTTAGATTCCCTCACCTAACCCCATTATTATGTGACATTTTGCCTTGCATCGTGTCTGAGCACACGGGGAGCCTAATAACAACTGACCAAACAATCCGTAATGGTAAAACTCACAAATTCACCTGTACATGTGCACTGAATCATGGAATACAAAAAAAGTGAACAGTTCTCATTTAAATGTGCAAAAGCTGTGTCTGCAAAGCAACGCGCTTGTATCTTTGTCACTTCAACCAATTTTTTTCAAAAAGTGTGGAGATTAAAAGCTGCTTAGAAGCCATCACACTATTTTCTTATATCTTTTTGTCTGCTGTCTCAACACTTTCCTTCGTTCACATCAGACTCAAGTAGCACTTCCTCCAAGAATGCATTTGCTAATGAGGGAGTGCGTATTTCTTTATTCTAGAGCTCACAGTCTGCCTAATGTTTGGCACCACAGTATTTTTTTTACAGCACATATCGCTGTCTGTGTGCGTCATATGCTAGACAGGTCGTCGTGACAGGAAGCTGAAGCCCGCCGTGTTTTCGGGCTGCATCGCGTCAACATGGTGATCTGGGTGCTGAAGTTGTTGCTGCTGCTGCCGATTGATGGATGTTGGTATTTGGTGTCGGAGCCCATGTATCTCTGCAGGTGCCACCTCCGCCACTTCCTCTTGATCTCTCCTTGGACCTGCAATGGATTAAAACAATATCACTTTAATACAGACCACAATTTTACCATGTAGTGTTGTGTAATTGAAAATACACACTGCATGGGAGGTGAATTGGTGAGCGATCTATGATAATATTAAATCAGGATGTGCTGTTATATCAAACCAATTGTAATTCTTTTTGTATGAGTTCTTTTCTTTCAGTGAAGCAGAATGCCACCTTGTTGGGAGGCTTGGCACCTATGGTGAGGTCCCTGCACTTAATGCATGCGAGTAAAAGCACCAGGACACGAGTGTAGATTGCACAATTTTGCTGTTAGTATTTCTGTGTTGCACCTGAGGTGAATAGGTGGTGGCACCCCTGCACACCCCTCAGTGTAGTCTGCCTCTCCACGAGTGGCTTCTGCGTACTTCTCCTAGTTTTGTTTAGTTTAGTTTTGTGTTGGACAGAATATTCTATCTAACCGGTGGTTTTAGATTTTGGATCAAGACTCTTTTAAGCTAACTGTGATAGAAAAGTGCTTTAATTCCCCCTTACTGGTATTTGTGTTGATTTGACTACTAATGTTTTTTTTCCTCCCAGCAGCTCCAGTCCCTGCTTATTTGCTCATTTTGGCTAAAGTAGATAAAACATTTGGTTTATTTTGACTTCACGTCTCTGTCCTTGTTTCAGTAACAAGTCTGTGTGCACTGTTTCTAATTTTCATCGCAATTTAAAATTCTTGAAAAAGTATTTCCTGGGGTGGGATTCCCCCAGGTGGCATTGTCGGTCCTCCTTACTTTTTCCACTTATTGCCCCCCTATGATTTTTGATTAAATTTGAGTTTGTCTTTGAACACAGGCACATTTCTAGGGTGGCAATCTAAATATATCACAAGGACCCATTTTCTGCCTAACATATAGCTGGAAGGCCCTCATCCCATGGGTCCTAGTGCAACCTCTCTACCTGCACTGTCTATATTTACGTCCCTGCTTAAAAGGTATATTATGCAGGAATTGTCAGATGCTCTTTGTGAACATAGGTCTTGTTCACAAGTGAGGTTAAAATGGAGCACGTGATTGACAGGCGGATTGGTGCGGCATCAACAGTAATGAGGGCATTGTGCTGGTCCATTATGGTGAAGAAGGAGCTGAGCTGGAGGACAAAGCTCTTGATTCACCAGACCGTCTATGTTTTGACCCTACACTATGGTTGTGAGATTGGATAGTGACTGAAAGAATGAGATCACAGATACAAGAGGCCGAAATGAGTTTCCTCTGTTGGGTGGCTGGGCTCAGCATTAGAGATAGGGTAAGGAGCTCAGACATCCAGAGGAGCTCTAGTGGAGCCACTGCTTCTTCGCGTCAAAAGGGGTCATTTGAGGTGGTTCGGGCATCTGATCATGCCTCCTGGGCGCCTCCTGTTAGCGCTTTTCCAGGCACCTCTAACTGTTAGGAGGCCCAAGGGTAGACCCAGAACACACTAGAAGGATCATACACCTCATCTGGCCTGGAAATGCCTCAGGATCCCCAGGGGAGCTGGTGTTACTGGGGAGAAGGACGTTTAGAACACCTCGCTCAGCCTGCTGCCCCCACAACCTCATTCTGAACAAGTTGGAGATAATGGATGGATGGATGTTAGTAACCAGTTGTGCAGCTTTGTCCACTTGGTGTTTTGCCTTGCTATATTTGCTTTTTTTGGCGCTGTGTCTGCGATTTTTCATGGTTTCCTCTTGGATGCCTGCTGCGTACAGTCTGGCAGCTGGATGCTACCTTTTTATAAAGTTCCCACCTCACCTGTGCGTTGCACCCAGGAACATCCCGAACATAGCAAAATATGAAGACGATAAGAAAATACAGGCAGATGGCAGAGTGAGAGGGATTTCTTTTGTGTGAGTCTTTACATTGTAAGGAAGGAAACATCCTGCACAGTACACCTTTAATAAATAAATAATAATTATTTCTCTGACTTTCTGCCTCTTGCAGAATACTTGCCATTGTTATTTTTGTGCCATTGTTTTATTGTAGTTTACATGTACGTGAATACAATGCAATTTCTGCCATATGTCGATATTACATGTCCTGTGTTTTTGTCGATACCAGTAATATGACAAACAATGAGAAATGATTCCAGGCCTGTAAAGCATTCCTGTGGCTCGAGTAATTTTAAAACCCTACACGCTAGGTTTAACAGTTCACAAAGGATACCTGAACATTGCACTGGATTAAAATTCCGGCAGCATCGTGTCAAACCTTGCCATCCAGCCCATCACTGTGATTTAATCTGGCCCAGCACTGGGAACATAACTAACACAGAGAGCCTCTGCAGACATCACCGACTACTAGCTCCCTGCCAAAAATGCTGTGCTTTTTACAGCCTTCCCACCCTGCAGGCAGAGTGCAGAAAATATGCTGCGGGGAGGTCCAAGGGAGGCGTTGAGCGCTTGGTGACTCATCCTCACAGCTCCATCCACCTTTCAGCTGTGTGTGAATGTAAGTGGTGCACCGAGGGAGTCAGAAAAACTACAGATAAGCTACATTTTCTGAGAATTACTGTAGACTGTCTCTACATGGAAATCTTTTAAAAGTGTGTTTATACAAAAAGTGTTTACATCACTGTGAGGGGGGGGCACCTACCTCTCCGTTGAGGAAGCAGTAAAGAACCGCGACCACAAAGCCCTAAATGGAAAGAAAAACACAGATAAGATAACGGCGTGTGTCACGGGGAACTCTCCAGTTGCATCTGTTTATTTTGTCTTTACAACTATTTGCTCACTGAAGCAAAACATGTGACATTCATGAGACATATAAATGGAAAAACAATGCAAAGTGTGTGAGGGTTAGTTTACAGTCATAATGAGAAGAATGATGGGAGGAATGTTCTGGAAAGGTTTCCTTGGTTTCCAGGCAGCCTGTAATGCAGCTGTGCTGTCTGGCTGCATTCTCCATCATTCCTCATTATGTGATGAACTGAAATAACACTTGGGGTTTAAAATGGTAACACTGCCACTGAATCAGCCAGCAAAACCCCTGGAGACCTGCCATCATTTCCTGCAAGGCTTCCTTCAATAGAAACACTCACAGGTTGGAGCTGACAGGACGCCAAATCGCTACTTTAAGCACTGAGGAAAGTTTAATTTAAAAATGCAAGAAAAATGTGTCTCGGTGTTGAATGACCTTCATGAAAGGCATCAAATACAAATTCCTCAAAGTAAAATTGTTCCCAAAAACTTGACGTTTTACCTGAAACGACCCCAGAATCAGGTCAAAAACCAGACGCAGCTCAGTCTTCACTTGCTCTGGGATGAATGCAAACACGATAAAATTGATTCCAAACAGAGGAATCAAAAGCAGCGTTGATTTCGCCAGCCTCCTGAAACGACAGAGAGAGAGAGAGAGAGAGAGGAAAAAAGGGAAATTTCTCCCTCCGGTGAAACCAATTTTGAATCTGTCTCTATATGTGTCAATAATGAAATGCAACTCAAGAGTACTTTTCATTTTACATTTCAGCTTTGAGGACCGGAGGTGGGGGGAAAAAACACCATTAAAAAGAATCAGTGGGAAAATAGCTCATGCATTATGACCGGCTTATGAGACGCTCTCCATCACAGGAGAAAACACTATATCAAGCACTATATCTCTGTGCAAAGCAGCTGTCAGAGAAAGGCTACTGTGATGACTATCGCATAAGGCAGGCATTGAATTTCTTTTCTGATGTTGAAAAAGGATTGGTCATCCCTGCATTGCTTTGAGCATTGGAAGTTTAAAGGAGCCACGGACAATAAATGGAATTCACAGCAGACTGGACCAACAGGACATATATGTTTATCTTAATATCAGCTTCCTGTGTTGATTTGACATACTCTTTTACTTTTGTGAATGCAGCTAACTTTCACAGAATGTGGACCCAGGACAGAAACTGTTGAAGTGGTGTAGACTTTCCCCAGCGTGTGGAGACAATCCATTCTCATCCAAACTGGTCAAATAACCCGACTTTGTCAGTAGATGTAAACATCAAAATATGATGCCATAGGTACCCTCCTGCATCTGTTTTGGATGGTCAAGAACAGTGGCTCAAATGACGCTTGTAAATGCTTTGCTTCTTTTGAAAATAGACTTCTATTTTCACAGGAAATGTACGTTCCATGTATACAGCCTGTTCAAAATGAACTTACAATGTACGTTAAACACTTTATTTAGGTTTAGGCAACAAAAGATCATGGTTAGGTTTAGAAAAAAACATCATGGTTTGGCATAAAGTGAGTAAAGTAAGTAGTGTTGTTGGACTGTCTCACTCTACAGTAGTTGCCGACAGCATCAGAAATATCTGCCAGTTGGTTTGTATCATATTGCCGCAAAGAGTATCTCTATGTTGGTGCCTGATGCTGCCATCCATTGACAAAGCAGCTGAATTTGAGAAGTTTGGTTGTTGCCAGCGGCGTCAGAAATAGCTGCTGCCTGGTGTGTATCGAACCAGCATGAAAGGTGCCTCTGTGCATTGGTATCTCACGCAGAGATCACAGAAAAAGCAGTGGTAATTGATGAGGTGGGAGTGAGAACGGGCTGGTAGGGATCGATAACGTTTCACCCTATCTGACTTAGTCAATAATACAAATTTAAAGCATGGAAAAAAACATGGAATTATACTTACGAGTACTGATTGGACTCATTTCTTCCAATATCTGGGCAGTTGATCTTCTGGCGAAGTATTCGTATGATGCAGATGAATAGAATAAAGTTCATCTGTGGAGGACAGTATAGCAGTATTTTATAATCTAAATGGGATTTAGTGCCGGTGGTACAGGAAATGTCAATCAGAAACATAAAATCTTTCCAAAATGAAATTCCTACATGGATAAAAAGCCCATTTTAAGGTCACTTCCACATGTTTTCAGTGTCTAATCTAAAGGATATGAAGCAATGTTTGAGAAATGCCTCTCATAACAGAAGCTCGATGCCGACTTTAATCTCACTCTGACTGGATTGTGGCGCTGCCCTGTGGGGAAAAGAGCATTTCTAAATTGTTAATTTGTGTTGGACCTCTGAACTGGCAACACATCACAGTCAGAGCTGCTGCGGAGAGAAGAGACAGAGGCATCTGACAGCCAGGCTGCTGATCCTGATCCTAATGTGAAAGAACACAATTAAACCTGCTGTGTCTGCTGCCAAGCAAAGACCCACAAAGCAAGGCATCAGCAGACATCAGTAGAAGAGCGTTATCTCAGAAAATGTTTTCTGCATCCCATAATGTCCTCTTAAAACTCTGGTATTTGGTATAGTCTTTATGTAACTCCCCAAAATGGAACTAGTAAGTAAATTCATAGGCAGGTTCCTAGAAAGGACATTTGGTATGAACTATGAGGTGAATGGAGACAATGTTAGAAACAGCACAGTCAATTAATTCTAATTATTTTCCAGTGTAAGACACTTTTAGTGGGCCGGTTCTCAGCACTTTTATATTTTACTCTTTGCTGTACCCTGACTTTTTCTTGTGCACCACCATCTGCTGCTATCATCACTGCTGATGATGAGAAGACTGGATCTTTAATGTAGCCTCAAGGGCCTAACACAAGTGTGTCTGGGCCTTATTGATTGATATCAATCACCCTCCACTAGCAAACCTACTTGTAAAACTGATCAGACCCTGGCTAATTAAAATTTTTTTTAAAAAAAAGCTGAAGCTATATAGAAAGGAAAGTGTTCTGTAATAAAGGAATAATGAGGAAACATTTCTTTTGAATGAAATGGAGCAGTTCTTTCAAAGAAATTATTCGAGGAATCAAAAGCTAAATGCACACTTATAGCGGCTAATTAAACTCAATGCCATCAATATAATTAGTGCCAAATTAAATAGTTCTTTCAAGAAATCACAGACCTGGGGAAAAAAGCATTCAGTAAAGCAGTGCAAAAATGCTGGGCAGAGACGCAGTTCATTTAATGTAAGTACTTTTCCTTCTTACCACTTAACATACTCTACTGCAGCTTCTTGAGTGCTACTTGTTGAAATAATCTAAACCCTCCTTTTGACATCTCTTCAAGTGTATCTCACTCACGGTGACATACCCATACAAACACACAAACACAAACATGCTGCCAATGCAGATTGCCGTCTCTTTTTCTTGTGAGATAAGTGGTTCAATCTGCGGTTTAAAGCTCAGGGGAGTTCAACCTTTTCGCTTTCATATCGGGGCACTAAATATGAAGCGACAGCCAGTTAGTATAGCTTTGCACAAAGACTTGAAGTAGGGCCAAGCAGCCAACTTGGTTATATTCTACAATAAAAAAAATCCACCCACTGGCATTTCTTAATATATCTCTAACCAGAATTACTGCCCCACGGTTGTATCCCCCTGTGCACCAGTCAAGTTTCTCTTGCAGTTAACATCCATGCCTGTGAAAACATGGATGATTCGCACACATTTCATCCCCCCGCGGCACAGATCTACACAATCAGCACAGTTTCAAGGTGGACACCAAAGATTAGTGCCACCAGTTCTATATCTGACCAAACGTCCCCCCTTCTGTTCCTGAGATGTGACATTAAGTAATGGCCAGAAAAATGTTTTATGCAGGAAATTATGATGTCACAGTGAAGTTGACCTTCGACCTTTTGGATAGAAAATGACATCACTTCATCATTTTATCCTATTAGACATTTGTGTGAAAATTTGCCATAATTAGATTATGAATTCTTGAGTTATGGCCAAAAACATATTTTGTGAGATCACACTGACCTTGACCTTTGACCTACAACCACCAAATTCCAATCACTTTATTCCTCAGTCAAAGTGAACGTTTGTGCTAAATTTGAGGACATTCCCTTCAGGTGTTGTTAAGATATCGCATTCAGGAAAATGAGACAGATTCAAGGTCTAAGGGGATGTATGTGCCAAATTTGAAGAAATTCCCTCAAAGCGTTCTTGAGATATCGTGTTCATGCGAATGGAATGGACAGACAACCTGAAAACAAAATGTCTCCAGCTACAGCTAGCCCCGGCGCAGAGGCATAAAATCTATACATATATATATCATAATAAAAAGTGAGCTTTAAAAGGTGCTGGTAGTCAGATTGTTTTTACCTTTGGACAGAACTAGGCTAGCTGTTTTACCCTGTTTCCAGTCTTTGTGCTAAGCTACGCTAACAAGATACTGGGTGTAGCTTCACATTTACTGCACAAAAATGAGAGGTATTGATCTCCTCATAACTTGTGGCATTAGAGCAGTAGGGATATTTCCAAAAAATGCTTTACTATTGCTTGGGGAGCTTGGCAGAAGGCAGCTTAGCTTAGCATTGAGACTAGAAGCAGGCAGAGACAGCTAGCTTGTTTTTCTACAAAGTTGTACCTACCAATATTATCTTGAAAGCTCACCAAGTAACACAGTAGGCTATATGTTGCTTGGTTAATTCGTACACAAACAGAAGAGTTACATGCTATTTTTCTTGGCTAACAGCAGCTGAGCTGTTTTCCCCTTCTGCTGGGCATGCTAAGCTAGGCTAACACAGCTCCGTATTTAACACACAGATATGAGAGGCACAGGTATTGATCTTCTGATATATATCAGAAGATCAATACCACTCTCATATCTGTGCGTTGGATGAGCAAATAAGCTTATTTGGAAAAATGTCACACTAATCCTTCAACATCTGAGGAACATCTAAATGTCAGACTATTTTTCAAGGGTAATTCAAGTGCATCTACAAACACTGCTAAACTTATGTCCACAGATGTTGATGCTGATGTTGAAAATGGAAACTGAAGGAAAAACAGCAATGAAGGTGCTGAAAAATGAGATAAATGATGACAGGCAAGTCAAACTAATCGATGCTGACTATCCTGCCAACTGCCAAGTGAAATGAAAACTTTGAGGTCGTAGGCTACCTCTCAGTTGTGTTGACGTACAGCAGAAATACCAAGGAGATGAGTTCAAAGGAAATCAGATAAATTACACTGCAGATAAGCCTGAGATGGACTGATAATAACTGACAAATATGTTCCTTCTGTCAGTGGCAATTAGTTTTACTTAAGAAATGTCTGGGTTGAGAGTGTGAACAGCTCTAGGTGCATACATGTTAAAAGAGTAATCTGTAAACTTACCAGGATTGACGCCAAAATAGGGGTTTTAATGATCCACCAGAAGACGTCAGTGTTCTCGATTATATCCCAGCACCTGGTGAAGAACGAAACAATATTCACATACAAGATGACATAAAAGCAAAATCAGACCTAGATTTACACTCTTGAGTTTCCTGGTGTTTTTCTTACCCCACATCATTATAGTAGGCTTTAGTAATGCTCCACGCTGTGATGAAAATTGTTGGACCTCCTAGGGACATAAAAAATACATAAAAGTGTGCACCTGAAGTTATTATTGCATCCCAGCGGCACGGGTCACAACCTGTAGCTTGTCTTCAGCTGAGGTCTCACTCCAAAAGGAGCAGAGACGTATCAAAGCAATAAAGGAAGGTGATCTCACCCCAGCCGATCAGAATGTAAGCCCAGAAATACTTCCTCTCGGAGAAGAAAGAGACAGCCAACAATGCGTGAAGATAAAGGCCTTCCACCAGCAGCCAGAAGAAACTGGCCATTATGCAGTACTGGAAGAACACAATCACGACTTTGCAGCCAACCTGGCAATGGGCACAAGACACAAAAGCATGAATCTCACAATGATGTCCTTTGTGGAAACACGGACGGTTAAGACATTACAGTGCAGAATGATGGCAAAATTACATGTAGAAAACAAAAGAATGCACATATTGATTTTCTCTTTCTTTTGCTCAGGCTGCCTGTATTTAACCTCTGAAATAAGATGATACATTTTTGCACACACAGATCCATTAGTTTCTATCAAACAAGAACAAATTAACCATGAGAGCAAACTGAAGGCAGCACAAGCTGGCTGACGTCCCTGTGAGCAGTCATTTTACATGTTAATCAGACAAATCTACTTCAGAGCTGTCAGTGAATTAGAAGTGATTGCAGGCTAATAATGAGGTGGTAATAAAGCGGTTATTCTGCATCACAGACCATAGACATCATTTAGGTATGGCGAGGTATGGCAGCTGCCATACCTTGGAATCTCGAGAAAAAAAAAAGAGAGCGGTTCTGTAGTCATCTTACTTGTGAGTGTCCCTCATATTTGTTGCAAGTGATCAGATGTGATATGTTAGATAGTCCGAGGCGCACTGGCTGGTTGTTTTCATTGTATTGTGCTTAAATAGGTCAATAATATGCTCATCAGTGAATACGAGTGTTAGTGAATCAAATTGTTCGCCACTTTGCTCCTCCGCGAGTTATGAGTTATGTGAGTTATCTGTGTGTTGTAAAATCATTTTGCTCTGCTGCTGTAGACAGCCTGTCTAAATGAGGTCTTGAAGCCTGTCTGATTGTATGTGGGGTTTTTTTCTTCATGTCGGCATGTTAAGCTTGTATTTTCGGTCTCTGGAATAAATTCGCCTATACAGTATTGTACCAAATTGGCCTTTGTTTTACTGTGTTTCATACACCGGACCCCTTGGTTATCTTCTAGAAATTAGGTTGTAATTAATTTATTTTCTTTATTTTCTATGAAGTTAAACACATGACTAATGATAATTAAACATCCGCTCACTGTCCGTGGTGCTGAAATATGCGCCGAAATAGGTCTGATGTTTTCACTGCTCTCACCAAGTCGTACATTACATGCAAACATGAGGTATTATGAATGTGAGAAACAGCTTCATGTCCTTTGAAACAGTTTTCAGTAGCATAGTATGTACTTCTGACAGGTCAAAGACCAAAGTGAAGGTTTATATAAGTTCATATTTTTGAAACTCCATCATCAGTAGCTCTGTGACGTCATGTCATATTGCTATACCTTAGCTTTTGCTGAAATGATGCCCCTGATCACAAAGGTAATCATTTTAGTCTAATATCAGCAGCTTTATTCCCTTAAAATATGTCTAATGACAGGAGTATCTCCCGGGGGCCATTAAAATGAAGGAGCATGATGTCAGAAAGGACACTGATTTGAACATGTGAAATGTGCTTCAAGCACAATTGGCTTTCTTGAAGTGTGTGACACATTGAGCTTGAAAGTCATTCAAGAATTAATCTGTACCAGAGTCCTGCATCGGGTCAGGTACTCAAGAGTTCCAGGCAGGTGACCCACAAAAAAGGTGATTCGCTGCTGGTATTTTGTAAGGATTGAATATGAAATATTCATTCATTCATTTGGGAGTCTATCCCAGCTGACATAGGGCGAGAAGCGGGGTACACCCTGAACAGGTCCCCAGACTATCACAGGGCTGATACATAGAGACAGACAACCATTCACACTCACATTCACACCTACGGACAATTTAGAGTCACCAATTAACCTGCATGTCTTTGGACTGTTGGAGGAAGCCAGAGTACCCAGAGAAAACCCATGCTGACACGGGGAGAACATGCAAACTCCACACAGAAGGGCTCCTCCACCCCAAGGCTCGCACCAGAAACCCTCTTGCTGCGAGGCTACAGTCCGATGTGAAATATATTAAAATAAAATGACAATATCAATAATTTAATTTAATGTTTTAACATGTTATTCCCCTGACTACTAACTTTGTGTCACCTCTCTTTGTTTTTGCGCTAGCTGCCTTACCAAATTATTTAAACAGTGCATGGTTAAAAGGTGATTTGTGGTGACAGGTCGAGTTGTAAAACTATTGGGCGGGTGACAAGGTGGATGCGATATCCCACGTCACAGTTCTGGTTCGGGAGTGGGTCTTGAAAATCAGACCCATGTAGAACTCTGATTTGTACCACTGATTAATAAGGCAACATTTATAAAGAATATATGAACCTATAGTGGCCATATTATTGGTCAATAAGTCCATTGATAAGAACAACTTTTGGTTTGTCCTCCTGCAGGCAGTGTGACACTTGATTTGTAATTTTACAGTAGCCAGAACTAAAAGTCACTTTTTACAGTAAGAACTTAACATTTACAACTGCGACTTTGATTAAAATATTGACCAGACAGCCAGAGACATTTGCCCTGATGCTGTGCTTATTAATGGGTACTAACAAGTGGTGTAGTGGAGGGTATACACTAGTATACAGGGTACACCCATCTCCCTTCCTGGCTGTTTACCTATCAGGCTAAAAGCCACTGGAATATGCAGGAGAGTATTCCCACTTCCTCCCTGGTAACGTACCTATCTACTTAGTATTACACTAACCTCATCAACTACCACCACACCACTGATAAAAACTAATCTATCAAGTATTAATGAACCAGTAAAGCCATTAATTTCTACTTATGTAAACCTCTGTAAAGGGTAACTTATTAGAAAATGGGACCATCGAATCATTTCAAAAATGCAGAACTTTGGTTTCTTTACCAAACTGCGTTTTATGCATCAGATAATTTGCACTGACAGTTGGTACCGAAGAGATATAAGCAATACAGGCAACATATAATACAAAGTGCAGAGATGTTCCGGCAGATATTGCAGGGAGGGAAAGGACAAGAAAGGAACAACTGAAACAACCACGCAGGATAGCACACTCAGATCTATTCTGGTTGGCTGAGAGCACAAAAGTTCCATCAGGAAGGGTGAATTCATTCAGAATTCAGTTTGCTGCTGCTGAACACCGCGCTGCGAGGCTGCTATTAAACTTGTTACACAACAAGAATGGGTATAAAAGGTTCATTTTCCTAATGGTGTGGGTGGGCTGAGCGTGTGGCTCTCTCACAGGTCCAAAGCTGATACACATTTCATAAGCCACATATAAGCTGTTTTGGGATCCTAGTGATCCTACAGGGAGGGCACCAAGTAGATAAGAAAAATCAATACTGTGCCCATTGAAAATGACTCCGTGAGAGTGAATGCATTTAGCACTTTAGCAGATATACCAAGATGCGAGACACAGGATGAACTGCGAGGAGGGAGAAAAGAACATAGTGTGATTAGGAACAAAGTGAAGCACTTGACAGATATGGCAGTGTGGATAGCAGGGCAGAGAAGTGAAGGCAACACAAATATGATAAAGACACAAAACAGAGTGGATGAATGAGGCAACAGCAGGAACAATCCACTGACATTAGAACAGAATCAAGGACAAACAAGCCATGATATTACACCGAGAAAGCCCCACCTCTTGTCTCAACCTGAAGTCCTAAGAATGATGAATGAGTAGGGAGGTGTAATGCCTGAGCTCCTGCAGAGGAGTTGTACTGTTCATGGAAACATGAGCACCATTAATCATCAATGAAGATGGAAGACATGGACGTCAGGCTGCTTCTCAAAGTTTAGTGCACTGATATTTCACTAGGTTGTTGAATCTGGGGTGGGCAGTTTTCTTAAAAGGCAAAAAACACCCTTTCACCAGATGAATACGGGCATATGCACATGCTTCACACAGTAACCCAGTGTTTCCCATACATACAGTACAGGCCAAAAGTTTGGACACACCTTCTCATTCAATGCGTTTTCTTTATTTTCATGACTATTTACATTGTAGATTCTCACTGAAGGCATCAAAACTATGAATGAACACATGTGGAGTTATGTACTTAACAAAAAAAGGTGAAATAACTGAAAACATGTTTTATATTCTAGTTTCTTCAAAATAGCCACCCTTTGCTCTGATTACTGCTTTGCACACTCTTGGCATTCTCTCCATGAGCTTCAAGAGGTAGTCACCTGAAATGGTTT